GGCTATAGTGTCAAACAAGCGCCTCCTTGTATGGCACCCCTCCCCCTTAATTAATTAGTTAATTTTTAAAACTTAATATAGTGCCTTTTAACATTAAAATGATCAAAAGCGCTTAACATGAATTAAAAAAAATATATAAAATTACAGTAACTATAATGAATTATAAGAAATATCTATAAAACCTAATACTATAAATACCCAATTGACCACCCCTAAGAAAAGTTACTCGTTGTAAGCTAAATTAAAAAGATGTGTCTCAAGTTTTTTCTTAAAATGCTGAGTGATGTTATTGCTGAGTGATGTTATTTCCCGAATATTTGCGGGAAGGCTGTTCCTCAGTGTGGAGGCAGAAGCATAAAATGAACGAGCTCCCAATGTAGATAGCATGCGCCCCTTGAGACGGTCCAAAAATAATCTAAGGGAATAAACAGAACTACAACTATTGTGAATATGGTAAAAAGCAGTCTTACAAACATGATTTACATGAGTATCCATACGAATTGAAATGTCAAATATCGTTCTCAAACTCTTTCTCTGAAACCAGTCGAGCGTAACACCGCGCATGCCAATGTCCTTGTCAAGTCTCTCCAACAGAATGTCGTGATTGACAGTGTCAAAAGCTGCGCTGCGAACAAGCAACAACTTAAGTGTGACTTGCTGAGAGTTCATGTTCAGAAGAACATCATTCATCACTTTCAGCAAGGCTGTTTCCGTACTGTGGTGTTGGCGGTACGATGACTGAAGCTCGGGATATAATGAGTTAATAGTCATGTGACTATGCGTTTGTTGGAAAACGGCCTTCTCTGTAAGCTTAGAAATATACTGCAAATTACTTACGGGGCGATAGTTCTTCAGCAATAATTTCAAGTCCAAGTTTCTTAAGCAAAGGAAGGACTAGCGCACATTTCCTTCGAACAGCAAATTCACCTGTCTGTAGCGATAAGTTTATAATCTTAGTTATCATGGTAACAAAACATCGATGCAGCCGATAACAAGTGTTGTAGGTATAAGATCTAGTAAACATGACTTTTTGGGGGTGGACTCAATAAGTTTTCGGACGTCAGATTGGCTGAGTATGTCAAACTTCTCAATGGACGGTACATCACGAACGCACTCGTTAGCAGTGCGGAGAGGAGGGAACGAAAGCATGTCGAGTTTGGTCTGTATGGTGTCAATCTTTTAAACAAAGAAGTTGCTAAATCAAGCAATCTTGTCGTCAAATTGAGGATACTCCACCACGTTCTCTCTCCCAAGCAGTCTCTCAGTGGCCAAGAACAGTTTCCTCTGATCAGTGCTGTTTTCTTTTACAAAATCTTTGAAAAAAAATTTACGTGCTTCATTCATCGGATTGTTAGTGTTGTTATTAATAGCTTTGTATGCAAGGAAATCTACCTCCAAACCAATGCGCCGCCATCTCCTCTTCGCCCTGCGCCTCTCTCTTCTAGCCTCCTTAATATCATCGTTGAATCAAGGTACTAGGGGCCCAGCTGGGATGGTCTTTGTAATGAGTGGTGCATACCGGTCCAGGGCAGACGCAAGAGTGGAATTATAGCACGACACAAGATCATTCATTGTGTCCGGGGTATTTGTACATAAGTCCGACGATGAAATTTCATCAGATAGCACATCAAAATTCACGCCTTTAAACCTCCTAAAGGTCACTGTTTTCTTTGTTATCCTAGGCTTGTCAAGGTTTAACCGGCGTATAACAGACCAGTGATCGGAAATGTGATAGTCTGATATAGGAGTTTCCCTAACCAAGTCTTCGAAATGTCGTGTTACGATTAGGTTAAAACATCCTGTTGTAAACTTATCATCTCCAGTAAATCAAGAAGTTTCAATCTGTGGGGGTCCCTAACAACGTTGACATGGATGTTGAAATCGCCAGTTATTAGGAGAAGCTCAGATGAGGGGATTATAGATATAGATAATCAGAAAACTTCTCCTTTTTGGCCAATCACTTTCTTGGATAGTAAGGATGCAAGGAAAACCTGTTTCTGTTGCCACTCTTTCATGGCACTTTTTCAGCTTCAACTATAGAAGAAGCACTACAGGCAAATATTTCCTTTTCTGTTAAATTACCCCTAAGTTATTTCTATCTCCATATTCTTACTGTTCTTTTACTATTTTTCCATTGCCATACATATGGTTAAACGTAAATGCCGTAAACTTCCCAAAAACAATTCGACCATTCTCTAGTCTTCGAGGACCAGTGATCTTTAAATTACATCTAAGTCAGCTTCAATGAAACCGGTGTTAGTTAAGAAAGTCTGAAGCTTTGATTGGATCTTAATAGAGAATTAACGCATAGTTATGCTTGGCTTTGGAGGATACAAAGGTAAACATGCCAGAATTTTTGAATTTATCAAATAACGGCCCAGTTTTCTCATTGTTTTCCGAAGTCCATGTTGAAGACGAAAAAACTTAATTTAGAAAAAAAAAAAAAGAAGTAACAGCAGCAACACGATAAACAACACGATAAACAACAACTTGAAAGGAGTCACGGGCCACAGTTTTCATATCCATGACCTTTTACTCTAGTCTGAACTTTTAGATCACACGACAGGCTGCCTAACCATACCCAGTAAAGGACGAATTTAGAGGAGGGGGGGAGGGAAGGGGATCCCAATCACAATTACAGGACAAATTGAAGTTATCATTTTTTCAGTTCTTTTCCTACGAAAAAAATATTCCTATTTAGAATGTAACAGTTAACCGATTCTCAACGCATTTTTTTTCCTTTTATTTTAGATAGGGCTTTATATTTTCCAAAGAAAGGAGTCAGTGATTTTATCAGCGTAACGGGAATGCCAAGTTTGACGAAATTCACCGTGTGTTTCTCGATGAAGTCCAGCGATTCACAAGGAACTCCTCTCAGCTATGCTGTGCCACAAGAGTACAATGAGCTGGTCATTGACTACGACAGAAATGGGTTCCTGCTGACAATTAGAGCATTTTCCAGGTAAATGGCTTCGTAAATTCATTGAAAAAAAGATGCTAAACTATTCAAGAGTTTAAATCTTAGGTGCATGGTCGGCTCAGCACACCACTGGCTACATAGAGTTATAACACAATTCGGAAACGCTCCTTGTCACAAATTGCAAAATGGTTTTAAGCTTTACCGTCTTCTTTTTGAAGAGTTAAAGCCATACTGTTTCGGGCCTTTGTTTAGCCAACCGCTCGTCGAAGAAAAACTGTCCCTATTTTAACTACTCGAGTGGATACTCGCAAAATTATGGTGGCAATTCTTACGTGAAAGATGTGAATCATTAATTTTAATACAAGTTGTAACTTTCTTCTCCTTCTTCAGCCGCAGCAATACTCTTGTAAATGCATTTTTGAAATTCTAAACTATATTCAGGTATTCATAATTAATTTTAAGATGAATTAGAAAGAAAAACCTCTGAAGAGTAAGGGCATCGCTTGGTTGAAATTGCAGACAAAATAGATGGACGGTTTTGTGCTGACTAACCTGACGTTTTCACGAATGTGTTAGCAGTTCAAAATTCATTTGCTTTAAAGATTTTTTAATTCGTTGTTTTAGACTCATTCATCTTTTAGGTGTAGATAAAGATATCCACCTTGACGTCTTGTGAAAAGGCTCTTGAAATTCTGTAAAAGAAACAGGAGAGCTTTTGGGATCTATTCAGGGGTTTCAATAACTTCTTTTCATAATCGGCTGTCGAGGGTGTTTTTTAGGCGGTTGTGCCCGGAAAAGGGGCCGTAACGTTAATGCCAAGTATGAGAGCCTGAACAGACGGCGGTAAGAGGTTTTACAGCCAGGTGGTGGGAGTCCACTGGCAAATGGCTTTTACTGAAACCGCTGGTTTTTTCCCTTGTATATCTTTCTTTCTTACGATGATTCACGTTATAACATATAAGACTTAGGCTTTGTTTAATTCACATGGCGCATTATAAGATAGCTGTAAGCTTCAGGCAGGGGGTCTATAACCCTTGTGACCGCGATGAAATAGGTCTGGAAAATAGGTGCAGCTTTCTTCTTACATAGAATTTCCTTTAGCAATAATGCCATTGTTTATATTGTTGTTGACAGTCATTTTTTTCGGTTAAAGACAAGCCATTATTTGTCCACGGGGAGTGGAGGAGTTTGCGGGGGTCACTTCGTTTTCAGGGAGAACGGAGAGAGGATCAGTCTTCATTCATAGAGTACAAAGGAAGGACTATGGAAAATTGACTGCCATTTAACTACCAACAGGGGGAGGGGGATCTCAAGAATGTAAGAGAGCCTTATGAGTGCTCAGGGAAACTTTATTGTGACAGAACCAAAATCCTCCAACCCTCCCCACCCTATCCCACGTGATAAATGATGACTGCTCCCTTATTTCCAAATTTGTAGAAGAATATCTGTATCCGCCAACGATGGCCTCTGGCACCACATCTGTGTTTCCTGGCAAGGAAATTCAGGATCATGGAAATTCTACATCGATGGGAATATGACGGATCAGGGTACAAATCTCGGGAAAGGCCACGTGATAACACCTGGTGGCATCTTCATGCTGGGTCAAGAACAAGATTCACTTGGGGGCGGGTTCTCGCGCTCCCAGTCTTTTCAAGGGATGCTTTCAAACTTTAACATATGGAATGTAACACTTTCTTCTGAACACGTGAGAAAGATGTCGCAAAAGTGTATAATAGATGAAGCTTCAAATGACAGAGTGTTTCAGTGGCAGGATTTCGTTGATGGATCTCGTAAAGGAGAAGTAAGGCTGGTGAAAGCTTCTCCTTGTAAGACGATAGAGTGTGAGTGATAGGATGAAGCAAAATTGTTAGGGGGGAGGGAGCAGTGTCGCTATTTTTACATATAAATAGAGCGTGAAAAATGAGACGCAATCAAATATATATCATGTATGATAAGTCACCGATTATTTGAACTTCCACTCAATTGCAACGTTAAAGAAAAAGGAAACAGCCGTTTGATTTCCACTTGTAATTCATTCATTTTGGGGTGATTTATTCACGAATCGTACCATTTTTTGCTTTAAATCGCATCTTTTTTTTCCAGTCAGAGAGGAAGCTTTACTAAAATACAACTATTAATTGCTTGTTTAAAGGAAACCAATCTAGTAGCAGGGAAATTAAAAACAACTTTTGCAATTTTCTGCAAACCAGCTCACTATTGGATCAACGAAACATTTGCACAGACCAAAAAAATCCTGTGTCCCGGAACCGTAATTTTGAGAAACTAACCACGCAGGGAAATAAGGACTGTCAGTATATTTATTGCGTGTAGTGGATAAAGTAACTAGAGATATTTAACAAGATTAAAATCTGAAAATAAAATAGAAAAATGCCTCACAATAAGCTACATTAGTCCAATTCTTGAATCTGTTCCAAATTTCTTCAACCTCTGACATCTTTTCTTTCAGCAATCTGGAGTGCTTGGTCGAAATGTAGCAAGACTTGTGGTGAAGGAACTCAGACACGCACACGTGAGTGCAGGTACCAAAACTGCGCTGAAATGAGGGTGTGCCAACCTATTAAACCGTGTTCAGGTACGTTTTGAGCGAAATAAATAATAACTTGAGGTGCTCCCCTGGCTGTCTCCTGACAAAAAGTTCGGACGCGCGATGTACCGAAGTTATCATTGGAGTAACTCCCCTGGACTACTGACTATATGCAGAAATACACTCTTCCATTTTACCCTCATCAGAAGACAGGTGAACGATGCCCTTAACTATAGTGCAGAAGTTGATTGAAAAATTAGATATTGTACAGTCTCAAATAGTTTCTCAAAAACTTCTTTATTTCTATTCATAGTGCCTGGCAGTAAGATCCAAGTTAATGGCATCAGTTCCTCATCTCTCCTTGTCAATTGGACTACTAAATGGCAGAGGCTCTGGCCTAGCGAACTAAGGAAGATTCAAATAATATACAACACCTCAGAGAATGAAACAGCTCAAAATATCACGGTGAATCCATTGACCAAATTTGTGGAACTACGAGGTCTTTTGCCTTTTACGAAATACTGTGTTAGAGTTCAAATTGTAACTCACGAAGGGGCGGGAAAGCCATCAACTTGTGCTCTTGGGAAAACGCAACAGAGTGGTAGGTAGAAAGGTTCGTGTACTGTCACGCTTATTAAAGTTTCAGCTGTGAGCTTGGGCGCCACTGAAACTGCTGTAAGACTGTTGTGCAAACATTTCACCATTGGACATGGTTTGATGCTACTCTGGTTTAAAGATTTAATGAATGTAATCGAGAAGTTACAATTCATAGACCCAACGTTTCGACACTCCTGTCTAGTGCCTTCATCAGAGCTGATCTAATCGCTTCAATAACAGTGCCTTTTATATGCTCACTAATTAGCCACCTTTTTTCTGACGAGGTGTAAATAGATGTCAGGTAGTGAACCGCCATCATTACGATTTAAAGGAGCGTTGGCGGAGTTGATATGCCACGTTTCCAAACAAAGACGCTAGTGGTACGTTGATAAGTGGTGATAATTTTAGACTTCCCCACCCGATTGTATGGTTAGTTAGGCATGTGTGCTTTGACAAAGCTGAATTTTCTTTTTTGCCAAAGAAGACCGCTTTTTGATGCCATGTCTGATTGTCCACCCTTGCTTTTAAAGTTGAAATTAACATCCACAATGTAAAAACTATCATGCTCAGTCTATCGCCAGTTTGTGCCTAGTTTGTGATCAGATGGCTGTTCTTTCATAATCTTTGACCAAATGTTTCAATTAATTTCTCAGTCCCCCGCAGCCATCCAACAGGTCTTGCAGCAATCAATTTCTTCAGTCCATCCAGACTCTACGCGACATGGAAATCATTACCTGCAGCTTATTGGCAGGGGATCCCAACAGGGTATTCTTTAAGGTTTCAAGTAAAACATACTATCCATGAAGGAAACGAAACATGGACTGGGGAATTCCTCGTTCTGCCATATTCAACAAAGGCATTACTTAAAGGACTTCAAACATATGCAACTTACAGCCTAAAGATTGCAGCTGTCACCGAAATAGGCCCAGGCCCGTACAGCGAAGAAATTCTTATAGGTTAGTTAGAAACATTTTAACCTAATGTTCAGCAATGTTGTTCCTCAATTGAGAGTCGAAAGTAATTCTAGATAGAATTGCTTTAATCGAATCCTCCTCTCCTTTAGGAAAACTTAAGAAACTTTAGAAACTTAGGGAAAACTATGTCCCACCCAAGTAATAAATACGGTTTGACTTATGCCCCCTTTATGGTTTACATGCGTAGCTCTGTTCATGTTTTGGCCCTTTATAAAATTCTGTATTTAGTTTCTTTTCGATACTTTGCTCAAGCACTTTACAATGATTTTAAACTAATATCCCTGTACTTTGCGAAGGAGTTTAGGTCGGTGCAATAAACACCCAGGGCTATCTGATAAAAATTTGGGATGGTAACCTAAGAAGAAATGATATCCTTGTGGTGAAACGTTTTAATAAACAATAGTTTACACATACACCATGTGCAAGTAAATTTCTCAGTGAAAAATGCAAATGATTTCTCTCGTCAGCTTTAGATAGTGAATCTGAGAATTACACGATGAAAAACGAGAAAAATGTGTAACTTTTTTCCGTTTCTTTTTCTTAGAAACGTGCCGATGTCCCAAAAAGATATATGTGAACTGGGTAAAACTTCCACAGCTTTGTGTTACGCAACACTCACAAAACCAGAAAGTTCCCGGTGGAGTTTTTCCTGAATTGGTTTATGAAATGATACATCATGTTTGCGGCACATGTCATCAATATGAAAGAACAGAAATAATTTTTAATGAAGTGAACGGCAATTTTGAAGATATGACCAGTGCACCCGATGAACTTATGCATCTGAATATGCCTATCAAGATATTGCCCCAAGAACCAACCTCTGGGGAGGGGTGGAAACTTTTACCTCTGGTGGAGGTACCAGGGTTTGTACTCGTGATGAGGAAGCCCAGTACAGACACGTATGCAGTTTTTCTTAAGTCTTCTGTCCTAGGTTGCTGGCCTGCTTTTGCCGTGATGTTTGCCATGTATCTCACTTTTGGGTTGGCAACCTGGACTGTGGTGAGTGAAGCCTTAACCCTTTCCTCTCCCAAGATCTCACAACTAATTCTCCTTACTGTCTGACATAAATTTCTCATGGTGTCAATAAAGAGAATTAGTATTGAGAATTTGCTTGATCAGCATAGTATTGATATTCTGAGGAAAATTCTTTCTTGGTTTCCTTGAGGTCAACAAGTGATTTATCTACACCACCTATATATCTCAGCTAACGTTCTCTGAGTCATGTGTTTCCTGGCACCATTTCACTTTAAATGACATTGACTATGTAACGTAGGATACATAATTTCTACGTCGTGAGGTTGATGATCATGGCCATAATTAACAATTAATCACCAATGTGGAGGTATATAGTGGTAGATATTCACCGACACTGCGGTGAATAATTGTTTCAGTATGTACCACAAAGATACCAAAATTCCAATATTAAAGATGAAATTCCTCCCGTTTATCCCATCGACGTTATTCTCTATGTAGGAGATGCACGCGAATCCTAAACATTTTCCGCTGCGTTTTTCGCGAGGCTGGAGGGAAGGAGTTTGGTGGTCTTTTGTTTCCATGACAACTGTCGGGTAGGTGAGAGGAAATCATAGCTGATAATTAAGAGGTATTCATTTTCCCTTTAAAGATTATTGTTGTCCCTTCATTTGTCATGTCACCCTAAAATCAAACAGGCACAAAAGTGCACTGAACAGTTTTCACTGCTCTTTGTGCAAACCTGCATTATTTTCAAAAGAAGGATCCCTCGAGCATGATTACCATGTTCCTAGTTTAAGGAAATTCGTCAATAGCAACTGTTAGTGACCTAGGAAGAATATAAGTCGCAACTCTTCCAAACAGGGTGGGAGGATGAATATTATTTGACGGGTTCACAACATCAAAAGTACCTTACTTATAAATTACAAGAAACTGAATATACCTTATTCAATGTCTAATGTATTTTTTGTGAAAGTTCATTTTCAATCTCATGTTGGATGAATGGTACAGACAAAATCATTGCAGGATTAAATTCACGCTGTCAATATTTATATAGATGAGTAAATTTCATAGAGCAGAAATATTTTTAAAAAGCTTTGAGAGGTTTGGTTAAATGCTAAAAGCACATAATGGGCCGAGCATCTAGCTATTACATTGCTTCATTTATTAGCTCGTCTTAAACTGAACTATTTATCCATTAACTTATGAAATCACTCAATCATTCTTCATTAAAAGCGTGTTAAATTCTGTCAATAACACAGGTATGGTGATCGTCATCCAGTATCAGTGCTTGGAAGGCTCATAAGCATTGTCACTTTTCTTGTGGGTGTCGTCATCAGCGCTTTATTTGTATCAGCTCTATCGTCACTGCTGACGGTTTTCACAATAAATACGTTAACCAATCCTGAGCAGGGAAAAGCGGTAAGTGGAAATCTAGTTCGTTTCTTCATTTAATTCAGTTTGTTACTTCATTTATTGTCTTAACGAACTTACAAGCACTTCACTGCTGGATACTACATTTATCTTGTCATCAAGCACAAAGACAATTGATCATTAGTTATCTCAGTGCGCAAGAGTCGCGACCTCGTGAAGACTGGTATCCGAAATATTAAGTACAATTAATAGGTGAAACCCGCGATTCAATGCCAGTTCGATTTGTGGAAAAATTGGGCAGGGTGCCAGGGCTGGCAGGTCACTAAGAGTGGCAGGTTGTCATGCCTGGCAGATTACCAAGACTGGCAGGTCACCTAGGTAGGCAGGTTACAAAGGCTGGTGTTTGCTTGGTTTTCAATTCTCAGAAGAAGTATCGCTTGAGGCATGCAGAGCGAAATCCTGCTAATAGTCCGAGCATAATCACATGCGTTATGGTGTCTATTGACTATCCCAAAGTAACTTCGAACTGGACTGTCCGTGATACTTGTGTATACAGGATATGCGATATACAATGAACAAATTTTGATGAATCATAATGCATGTGATTATGCTCGGACTATTCACTTCTAACCCCTTTCATTTTTCAGATCGGCGTGATCAATGGTTCCCTTGAACATCGTTATGCTCTGCGAATCAATGGAAGCAAAGGTAAATGAATTTAATTTTTTGAATTTCAATACAGTAAATGGTTTGAGCCCAGGGGTAACATGTAATAGAGTAGTTTGATCGTCCGGGTGAAAGTAATGGATCGAGACCGACCAATCACGACCGACCTACGCCGCTTGAGTCTTACAGCCAATAACATCACAGCAAAACTTACCAATCAGTTTATACAAACCGGACTTTGAACATTCGACCGACAACAACTATTCACTTGACTCTGATGATGACTTCGGCTCAGGTTGTCGAAACATCGGTCACTACTACCGACAACAGTCCTTCTCAGGACTACACTCACCCGGACGATCAAAGTACACTATTACCAAATTTTAATAGTAGAACCTGTTTAAATTTCAGGCACGCATTACTACACAAGGAATACTTTGGTACCTGATCTTAAATCAAAAGCGTTGGATGGTGCCTTAATGGACTTCATGTTCGTGAACTCTTTTATGAAGGACTTGGACGATCCTGACTTTAGAGTTTATAAAATTGTTCCAAACAGGTTTTATTATGGAATAAAATTAATTGGAGAAGCAAGGCACTATCTCGGAGCGTTCAAGGAATATTTGAAAATGATGCCTATTGAGAATAGATTAAGGAAGCCAAAAGTAGACCAGGTGAGATAGTTTCTGCCTTGGAAACTAGTTAAAACTAATCAAAGTGCTTAAGACTTTGACCATGTTGTTTTCTTAAAGATATTTAACGTTTGGTAAATGAAGAACATTTTTGTAGTTAATGATTCAAAGAACAAGGGAAGGAATAGATTAGCTTCATTATATCATTGGTAGGGAATACCATAACGTAGAAATGCAGTTGATTGAATTGAAAATGGTTCTCCATGGAGGTGTTCCACACATTGTACTTTCGTCTAAGATTTTACCCTGTAGAAATCTTTTGAATAAGTTTTGCTTTCTTTTCTTGAAGGAACCTTTAGATCATTCTACAGAAGCCACACCGACCATGGAAGCAATAAAATTTTCTGACCCAAGGAGTTTTCTTTACAAGAAAACTTTAGAAGTGGTTAGTTTTGGTCTGATCACAGTGGCTACAGGTGGCCTCGCCTACCACGCAATGCAGATATGGCTGAAAAGGAACGTAAAGCATGCTAATAATAAAAAAGATGGTCAACTGAAAGGTAAAGAGGCCCTAACCCCTGAGCTACAGTATAAAGGACTGAAAAACAACTAGAGGGTATCTTTTACTTATATTACCAATATAACCAATTTCACAAATATCGTCAAGTTTCAGACGGCTCAGGGAGAATATTTGCTGCATCGGCAGCATGTTGCTTTCAGCAGGATTTTCTGTCATCATTGCAGGGTTAGGCCAATCTCTACCTTTGTCAATCATGTTAACCTTGCGCGTTGCATGCTGGAACCAAGTGCTTACGCGGGTTGCCATCTTGAATAAAGGTGTTGCTGTTTAACTATTCTCCGAATCATACAATTATCATTCCCAGTTCTTTCAGTTTACCACTTTATTTGAGGGGGAGGGGTGGTTGAGGGATTTCGAGGGGGGGACGGATGGATGATCAGTCGTCCTTAGCATAGCATTAAAGGGCCACTATAGAAAATTGACTTCCCAATGAGGGTGGATCATATGAATACTAAAGAGACTTAGAGGGGATCAGGTAAAATTTATTGTGACAGAGTCAAAATCTTCCAAACCCCTCCCCCTCAGGTGGTAAATAATGACCGGTTGACATATCCCTTAACGCTGTATACTCTTAACTTTTGAAAATTAGTTACATATCAAATTTTCTTTCACGATCATCTTGAAGGATGGAAGTTTTAAATGCATGGTTGTCCGTCTCCTTTGTTCCTTTAATCGTCATTCTGTTTAGTAACATTGTATTTTGTCTTGGTCCACAGCTCCTTCTAGTGATCCTCAGCTCAAACCAGACGAGATCAGGGCACAAATGAGCCAGCTTTTGGATGAATTTTACGATCGATTTCAGAAGGCATATCTCGCTCTTAAACTTAAGCACAGAAAAGAACTGTTAAAATTTCGACAGAGAAGAACTTGTTCTGCGCGAGCTGCACGAAATAGCTCTACAAAGTACATCTTAGCACAACAGGTGTGAGATTGAAAGAAAAAAAGAGCGACAGCATTTGCAAACAATCATACCTTCCCGTACAAATACCCTTAAAAGGCAGATTGTGTGCGCGGCAGTGAAGGTACCGATAAACAGCCTGCAAGTGAAAAAGATATCCCTTTTTTTTAGGCGTGAAATAGGATTTTTATTTTGTATATTTATTTATTTATAATTTTTTCTAATGATGGCAGGGTCACGTGCAAATATCGATTACGCTTTATCTCAAGGTGTCCCTGAAGTGCTCCTTAGGTGCCCCTGATACAGAAAGGTAATTGCTTTTGTTCTTACTCGATAAAGACTTACCCCTTTGTTCATGAAAATAAATTTAGCCTAATTTCTCTGAGTCAGGCCGACAAAATTATGTACGACAACGTTAGTCATAAAAAAAAGACCTCAGGGACACTCTTCAAGTGATCTTAAAGGATTGCTTCAAGCAATACAACACATTTAGTTTTTTTATGTGCACAAGACACCCGAAATACTGGTTTTGGTGATTTACGAGGTTAGATTAAAATAACAGAAACAAAAATCTATAAACACCTCTTTCTTACTCGATAATAGCATGTAAATTGATTAGCTTCAAACATTAGAGATTGTCCAATATAGTGGCCCCTGCTGTCCCGGACCGTAATTTGTTTCATCATGTGTACGTCTGGAGTATAGCTGTCATTATGAAATACATCTTTCGTCAAAAAAAAAACACTTATTTTAAAAAAAACTTCATAGAAAAAGATGTTTTGTATTTTATGCGAGATATAACATAAAATAGATTGGCTTTTTTGACAGTGAAATGAATGGAGTACATTACGTAAGTCGAAACCGTGACCGTAACCAGAAATTAAATAAACGGGCAGTCCTGACTTAATGGTTAAAGAATTCGTAAGAAGGCACTCGTTGGTAAGTAAACGTGTTTCCCACGTTTAAAGACAATTTTCACAGAATGGAGCCGGTTTTAAAACGGCCAGTATATATAATCATACACGACATGGAAGATGAAAAGGATAAAAACTGAGGCAGCTTTATGGCGGTGACTATGGATCGTGATGCTATATAAGTCTGTAAAATATCCAGTAACTCAATGATAACGAAAGAAAGAAAGTAAAACGGAAAGAAAGAATCGAAGAGAGCATAGGAAGAGATAACGAAAGAAAAAAAATTAAAACGGAAAAAAAGAAAAGCAGAGAGCATAGGAAAAAGGAAGCATGCACTCGAAAAGTTTAAACATCGAATTAAATTTATGCTCAAACTATAATTATAAAGCAACGCCAAGGAAAGATATTCATATGCATGACATGGATAAAACATTGCAACATGGTAAATTCTTTAATTTTTGTTTCTTTTTTATGATTTTTCAAATCCTCATTTTTGACTTTTGGGCATGATGCTCGGATCTCGCTGTGCTAAAGTCCATACGTGATGACCCGGACCCAGATCATGATACTTCTTCTTCCTGTACTCCCACTCAGTCGTTACATATCTCACTTAACGTGTTAGGACATTTTTTTTGTTTGCGATTAAGATTTTTAGTATTCATAAAACATTTTGCTATTTTAAGTTAGTTGAAATGTTAACAAATTGAAATTACACATATTTTTTTATTTTCACTTCATCCCACGGTCGTGACGAGACGAAAAAAAAATGTTCTCCTTCTCATAGTTTCACTTGTTGAATGAAACTAGAATTCAATTAAAACAATAAATTTTTGTAAGTGAACTTGATTTTACCCTCAAAGAGTTAGGTGAAATTTGTTCTTGTTGATTCAAAAATCTAGACTTCAACATGTCATCTCTGGGTAAAGTAAGGTTGAAGATGCCGTGATAGTTCGAGTTCGCGGGTTATACCCGATTGATTTAAGTGAAATACAACAATTTGCTGTCAAAGGGGTCATAATTTTTACGACTAACGGATAAAATTGTGGCCTTTTCACGGCTAACGGTTGATTTCTTTCCGATATTGTTTAAATAAACCTTTTTTACAAGCAACGGTTAAAATGTGTCAATTTTTAACGGCTAAGTATTTTTATGCCGTCTTAAGTCATGACTTCATCTCCACTTGCCACTAATGTTCACTAATACTCGCTTCGTACTTACTTAGTTCAATTAAAAATACTTTTCCCTGATAGTAACTTCAAAATATTTGAACATATATATAATTATATATTCATAGATTTCCATTGCATACTTGCTCTTCCTATCAAATCTTTCTTTGTCTCTCTCATTCCTCTTCGCCGTCTATCTTTCGTGAGCAAAACCAGTGCGGTTCAACTAAATACTTGGGTTCTGCCCGTTCGTGGAATTTCTGATTTATGCAGATCGGCTAAAATTTTTCTCCCGGTCATGGTCTCGGCTTTTCTTTTTTTCACTACCATAATATGTGAATTATCCTAAACGTCGTGTGCCATCATGGATTGACAATTAAAACAGTGTTTTCATTTGTTACAGTTTGATAACAGAGTCAGTTTTTCACCTTCCACTGTATTTACAGGGGCGTTGCGTAGGTGAAGATTTGTATTGAAACTTGCATTTTTGAGGTGACCGTAGACATTTAAGTTTTCAATAATTATTGGTAAGATAACTTTTCAAGTGCGTTTTACATATTTTTCGAATATAAACTATAAAGTAATTATTCAATTAAGCCAATACTTGAAATCCAATCATAACTTAAATAGATGAAAGGGGCGTCTTTAATGCTGGCTAGTCTCTCACGAATCCCATGGTTGTTGTTTTTCGCTATCTCTATTAGCTATGACTTTGTTTAACTAGTACTATTAACTTCGAAAACATGCTCAGTTAATTTAATAAGGCAGTCAGTTTGTTATTCAAAATGTTATTAGCCATTCTTTGTGAGCATGTGTTTTCTTAATATTTTTGTTTTGTGGCGGTATTTTTTGTATTACGTAATGTAAGTAATATTATGAAAATATTAAACAAATGAATTAATCAGTTATTGTCTGTATCTGCTGTAAGGTATACCGGAAGTGGCCACAGGTAGAAAGAGGGTTTGGGCAGCATGAGATATGATCAAGTGTTTCCAATTACTCCCTTCCTTTTTCTTTTCAAAATTCTGCACACCTATGAGGAAAAAGCCATTAATTTTTAACATATTTTAGCAATGACAACAAACTAGAGGAACTTCGTGAACCAGGCATCTTTCCCTGGAATCGTATAAAATGATGCTGCACTTAACAATTTCCATTGCCAAGTTTTGGAATTTACGAGTAACATCTCTCCCAGATTCCATAGAGTGGAGTATAATGGACGTGAAACATACATTTCTAGTAAGTAGCGTCTGAAATGTAAGGTAAATTCTTTTTTGTAGTTCAGGGAGCATCTCCGTACCAAAAGGAAAAAAAAACCTTAGCCTAGTTTCAAAAGTTAAAGAAGTTTACTTAGGAAATTTTTAAAAGTACTTCTTTCATTTTATGTTCTATTTAAAAATGAAAATCGTCGACTTGTAATTGATACTATGTCGTGAAAAAAAGAAAACTTAAAGGTATCTAGTTTAACACTTTTATTTGATCTGGTTTTAGCGAATCGTAACCGTTCTAAAGATAATTAACCTTTCGTCATTTTAAAAATGAAATTGATCAGGTGATGCGTAACTTTATCTTTCCGATGACTTTCGGATACTCACGTGTTTAAAACAATTTGGTTTTAATTAAAGGCCGTTACAAATATTCAAAAGTGCGTTGAATTTCATTTCTCGAACTACGGCCTCAAAACCAAGTCAGTTTTCAATGTTTTCCAAGTTACGTTGTGCTCCACCAGGCTAGCTGATACCGCTTTCACTTTAAAGATCAAGATATTACCACTTGACAGTTGGTATGATCGTGTTTTCTCGAAGTAACGTGCTTGTTTCGAAATGCAATGCCACAGATACAAAGCCGCTTTTATTCATATGAAAAAGCATACCAATTTGTTTATTTTTACGTAAAATTTTTTGAGAAAACCGTAAGAGTCACCTTTTGATATCAATAATACATCTAAATCCTATACATGAATCCAAATAAACGCTTCATTTGCTGCTTATGATTAACTACGTATTAGCAAGCAGAAGGTTTATTGTCATTCGATGATGTTTGTCTAATCCGAAATCTTTCCTTTATCGTTTTTACCTCTAAAGAGATACGTCTTGTTCTGCGCTTTCTAGAAAAATTTTGACCATTTCTGATCATGATTTAAAGTCGGTAACTGACACGTGTCCTGACTGTTTGCAATGCTATGCATTGCTTCTTAGTTTCATGCTTAAGAGATTTGGCTTGCTAAGTATTTTCCATTATCATGGAAACCTACCACACCTGCCTCCTGTTGTCTAATGATCTCTTGTAAAGAAAATGTTAATCAAATATGTAGCCTTCACTGTTGCGGTTGAATGTATCAAGTTGCAAATCTATAAATACATGAAACACTCAACTAATGCACTTTTGCCACGCAAGAAACGCGACTTTCATTCCATGTTAACATCTTAGACTACAAATGGGGAACGAAATCGGCTACGGCCAGCTAATGCAGACTTCTGATCACTAATGATCTCAGTTTTTTTTTTCGTGATCCTTCACGGTGCGAAAATTGGCTCCTACGCATATTGAAGAATTTTTTTGTCATTAGTGATAAATTATGACATTTAATGAGTTAATTAAGTAAAGTTCTTTTTTTGGAGGCAAAAAGCATGAAATTGGAAAAAAACAGTAAAACAGTAACAGTAAACCGAGCACCTTCAGATATTGATCATTGCCTTTATTTCTATGACCTTAATGTTTGACTCACCAGCAACATTGTGAGGAGACATTTGATGCTAGTTACTCTCAGGGGCTAAAGGGTATGATGTTGATTCCCCTAAAGCTCTCTAGTTTTCTTATGAACCTCCTCTCTCCCTTCATTTGCGATCAACTTTCTGAAGTCCTCCTATACACTCTGTTAGAGACGACGGATCCCTCTCTGATCGCTCTGAAAACCACGTAATCCCCCCCAAAAATCATCTGACGGAACTTATTCGATTGACGAATAGAATGGTTTGTGTCAATCGGGTATTACAGTTTTATAAAATTGCGATCAGGAAGCGCACGTTCTCTATAAATGAATGCTTCATTTATTGTTTATGATCAACTACTCATTAGTCAGCTATAAGTTTCGTGTCATGTCGTGATGTTCGCTTAATCTGAAATCTTTTCGTTTTCGTTTTTACCTCTAAAGAAATACATCTTGTTTTTAGCTTCCTAAAAAGATTTTGACTGATCATGATTTGAAACTGGTAAACTGACACGTGTCCTGATTGTTTGCAATACCATGCATTGTTTCTTAGTTTCACGCTTAAGAGGTTTGGCTTGCTAAGTATTTTTCCATTTTCACGGAAATGTGCAACATCTGTATTCTATTGTCTAATGATCGATTTGACAGAAAATAATTGTAGCAGACGGATACTGAAGCTTTTTGGCTCTGGAATCAATCTTCAGTTCTGTTATTTAACAAAATTGGCAACAGGAACCGCAAGTTCTCTAGAAACTTCGTCTATGTGGTGTTTAGTTGATACGGTTTGTAAACTCACACAATGATTTAATATTGCGCAAGCAAGTCTTTAAAGATTTGTTTGACTACATTTTTACCTCATATTCCTTTCAAAGATAATCATGAATTAAAAACGATACTCAGCACAAATAAGAGATTTCATCAAGTTGATAACGCGGTCATGTTACCTCAATACGTTAATGCATAATCTTTGTATCACCATTTACAATCAGTAAACTGACTCTGAGCGGAAGGTTATTCCAACATATCGTAATTGTTTCATCTTCAGAATGAAGATAACATATATGGGAAAATATCTATCACAATAATAAATATTTCCCAATGGCCTACTGAAGAACTATTCAGTAATTTAGACGAATGTGGTCAAAATTAAAACACCTAGCTGTTATAAATTCCTAATAAACTCCCACATACTAACAGGAAAAAGGTCAATGAGACAGGTTGTTTAGAACAACAAACAATGAATGCAGTAGACGTCAAGAATGAAAACAAATATGCGCTTTGCGAAGCGTAACCGATCTCTAGTGACTGAAAAGAGGAGAAAAAAAAAAGAAAGGATCAGTTTCCCAGTAATCATAACCATTGCAATTTCCTCAAATGTGATCGGTGCTTAAGCTGCATTTTTCCCCTACATATTCTGTGGAGTTTTAATGGGAAGGTGTAATCGGACAGTTGGCTGAAAGTCCACCCACCAATCACAGAATTGATTTCAATACCCATCGAAACAATCACTTAACCAACAAAACTTGGAATTTCCAAAATGGAAGATTTTTTATTTTAGACAATTTCTCTATTGTAGATATTTTCTGAAGTTTTCCTACGGAATTTGTATAGGTCATAGTTGATTGCTAATATTTTCTGAAGTTTTCCTACGGAATTTGTATAGGTCATAGTTGATTGCTAATATTTTCTGAAGTTTTCCTACGGAATTTTTAATGGTCATAGTTGATTGCTAATATTTTCTGAAGTTTTCCTATGGAATTTGTAAGGGTCATAGTTGATTGCTAATAGGACTTTGTGTCGTTTAATTGGGTCTGTAATCATACTCTTGCTTGAAAAATCACACTCCACCTTGCAGGTTTCCGATTTATAGTCACGTGTATGATTACAGACTGAATTGGACTCTGCTCAGTCCTACTCAGTCCTCACTCAGTTACCATTATTAATGCTATAGTGTAAAAAAAACATCGTAATCAGAAAGGGCGACACCAGGGTGGGAAACAACCCCCATAATGAAAAAATAGATCAAGCTTAATGATAGTCTTAATTAGCTAAATGAAAGAAATGTCTCTGAATCCTGTCTCAAGCTAAACAATAGGTAATCATTAAAGTCAATCGTCAAAGTCATGCAGTCGAAAAAACGTGCTCCCCAATACGCAATGAATTATTTGTTTTCACTGAAAGATACATATCTACTCCCTAACCAACAGTCTTTAATTTCTTTCTAGATTGCACTTGCAATTGTGCTGTTATGCGAGAAAGCACAATCAAGAAAAACTCGACTGGAGAGGACCATTGCTTCGTATTATAGGAGAGCGAAAACGTGTAGTGGAGGAAATCTGATAAAGATTTATACAGACATGTGTCAAATTGTAAACGGAAAGAAGCAGTGTAAGGTTTACTGCAATGGCAGAACCGACTTGGACCAAAACACAAGTGAGAATCAAAGAATTATAATAACTGTTCATATAGACTAGTTAAAAGATATATATGTTCGCCGTTGATTCTTGATATCCCATTGTTCAGGGAGTTTTGTTTTTCGACGCCCGAAAAGTAATCGATGTGGAAAGAGTGTGGGGATAGGCTTACAGTTTTGTCTCCTTAACATCCAGTCCTTTCAGACTAGATCGTTTGGATTTAGCAGTAAGTTTGAGATCTTTCAGATTTCAATTGTAATACTGCCAAATTATTGTCAAAAAACTCATTAAGGAAACAGTCTCAGCAATCGCTTTTGCGACTGCAAAGCAGTACCTTAAAAAAAAAGAAGCAAAATTGTCCTTCTCAGCGAATGGCTGGTCCAACGATGATAATAGTTATCAGATAATCGATCGTTTCATTCTCCAATAAATTCGTCTATTTTCTTGCAGGATTTGACATCGTGAAGTGGAATGGTAAGAAGTGCATTCAAAAAAGAGTCGGACTCATCACATACTCGTTGAAAGTCATCAATGAGACGAACGTAGTTTTTGAGGTGAGTTTAGTGTGCTAACATAAAATAGAAAGGAAAACCAACTTAGTTGATCGTTGAGATTCACTACAAATGTGCAAGTCCCTGCTTCTTTATTATTTCTTTGCTTGACTACTCAAAAACAAATCAAATAATGTAAATGATGATTATAAAATAATATTGAAACAATTGGGACGAAAATGACGATAACGACCACGGCTATATGATGAAGATAATGATGGTGCTGATGACAGAAAGGTTGTGGCTCAAGATCAGAAACAACTGCAAAGAAATGAAACTGGAAAAACAATTTGACGGAATATTTCACAAACATAAGCTCTTGTTTGTCAATAACAAAGCCATGCACTTTGATATGAGGGAAAACCTTGTTTGCTTGTTTGTTTGTTTACTTGCTCATTACTTAACTGATAAATTTGTTGTTTTGTAGGATCAGTCAGCGTGCAACGCATCAACCAGCAATGAGTTCTTGTTTAAAGAGGAGAAAGATATATTGACAAATACCTTTACATACAAATACATCTCAAGCACCAATCAAGCGATGTATCTCGGAGTTAATCATAACTGTACTGATAAGAACTTATATGTTTATTCCACAAATGTAACAGACAGGCGATGTTACATGAATAGAGAAAAGATTAGAAAGCTTTAAAATTCTTTTTGTTTTCTGACAGTTGTTAATTATTTAAGACAATGGCCCGCTTGACTAAGTTTGTGAATTCCCTGAATGTTTCGTTCAATGTATTTTTTGGAGGATTGAGTTTAAGTCAGAATATATACATACACATAAAATATCAAGTACAAACCAGACGTAGTGCCTTGGAGTGAGTGTCAGCTAAACTTATGATAATTTATTTCTTCATTCCACAAATAAGCGAAACGAACGAGGACAGGGGAGCGGGAGCCCGGGAGGAGCGGGAAGCGGGATCTATAAAAGGGCGGGACATGGGAGCAGAAATTGAAAAGGCAGTCCTTTGTTGTTTATTACTGCCAAACATCCAGTCAAAGACCCGCGCCTAGTGGCGTTTTTTGATTTTCATTTAAGTTCCACCGAGGTTCAAAAGAAAATTTTAGACGCCAGAAAACGTAAATTTATACTCAACATTGACACCGATGAAATTGGATACCTCTCGAAGTCTGTTACGTTAGAGGTCATGAATGAGATGACATAAAACAATTACACACTTGTGTCTCGCACGCTGTAGCAGTCGTAATTGTCTAACACAAAGCGAGTGAGGTCGATAGGGCGTCAAGGGCTATATTGATCAGCCTCAGTATTTTCCGGTGTGGCAACACAAAATCAGTCCATAGAGGACCTTGGTTTTTCAAATGCCTTTTTTTTAAATCAGACAATCACAGCTGCAGTAGTTTAAAGAAGATTTCAACTTCCCGAAGAAATCCGAATGGTTTAAAATGCCATAACCAGCCGATGAGTAATGTACGATAATTCTCTAACAGCACTTAAACTGGACGCTCATTGAATGCAAACGGGTCGTCAATTCATGTGTAACGAGATGAATTATTTGTTGAAGCCAGGTCTTACATAGCTCACGGCCAACGCTTCTTCCGACGAAGAACGAAAATTACTGAAGCGCAATGGATATACAATGAGTTGAAATAGAAGTAGGGCCAAATAAGATAGAAGAACCGAACTCTAAAAGATACTTTTGGTTCTTCAAAACGAATGTTTGGGATTTTTAATGTTGATTATGTCTTAGGTTTCTCGATAAGCTAGAATGACAACAGCGCAAAAGATCGTGAATGTCATAAAAGACACGGAATAATTCGAAAAACTTAATTTTGGGCTCGATGAAGTCGCAGAGGAAGTTTTAAGGTTTAGTTCAAGAGACAAAACACGAAAAAGGAAAAGACAAGGAATGGATTGAAAATATACATAGTTAAGCGAGCGAGTAGCGTGAAAATGCGTGAACTTTGACTGAGTTGTTGTATCTTGACTTTTGTTTTCATTTTGGGCCAAAATATCGCGAAAGTGACGGAGCTCTGAATGTCTCATATTTCGTAGAGTTTTATTCCTTCTGCTCTATACTGAAATAAAATTTATCCTCTGCCATCCGGTAAGCAATTAGTTGTTGTTGACAACGACTAATTACTTACCCCTCCACCGAAGCAGACTATAATTGTCATTGAAGCCATTGCCGTCTATTTCAAATTTCACGTAGAGTTATTCGGCCCAGAGTCGACACTTTGAGTATGAAAAAATATGAAAAAACGCACTGGAAAAAGCATCCTCTTGATCCCGGATAATTATGACACATCTCTTTAATTTTTGGTTTCAGCTTATAGCGGTGAAACCACTTGCCGTTATTCTAAGGCGACATTTTGAAGAACGAGACTATTCAAAGTCATAAACCGGAACCAAAAATTATATGTATGCTTTTTCTTTGACAGTAGCTTCAAAATATTTGGACATTGATAGTTAGATTGTCAGAGATTTGGGATGTATGCTTGCTTCCTCATAGGTAATCTCTCTTTGTCTCATTCTATCCTCTTTGCCGTTTGTCTTTCGTTTGTAATATTTTTGGTTATTTTGCAGCTTTTATGCGTCATCACCAAATCTGCCTCAGGTTTTGTACTCTTATTTCTAGGACGTGCGTGAAAACATTTTCCGTATCAAAACCGACTCCATTCCGTGAAAAATCGTCTTGATATGCGATTATATGCTTACTGACATATGATGGGGTTCAACTAGATACTTTGACTATTAAGTCAGGCCGCCCGGTCGTGGAATTTCTGATTTATGCAGATCGGCGACAAAAATATTGTTAGTCATGGTCTCAGTTAGAATTGACAAACTCACACAAAAATCGCACTTACTTAATGTACTAAGTTCGTTAAGCTTTTTTTCACTGGCAAAAAAGTCAATCTATCCCATGTGAAATATCATAGACGTCATGTACCATCGTGGATTGACAGTTAAATAGTGTTGTAATTGGTTACGGTTTGATAAGCGAGTCAGTTTTTTCACTTGCCACTGTAATTCCAGGGGTGTTGCGTGGGTGAAGACTTGTATTGAAACTCGCATTTTTGAGGTGACCGTAGACATTTAAGTTTTGAATAATTACTAGTAAGATAACTATTTAAGTACCTTTTACATATTTTTCGAATTGCCTCCCAAGCTACCATTAAGTAATTATGAGTGGCAACTACGTCAATCCTTAAAATACGATCATAATTGAAATAGATGAAAGAGGCGTCTTTAATTCTAGCTAGTCTCTCACGTATCCCACGGTTGTTGCTTTTCGCTCCCTCTATTATCTATGACTTTGTTTAGTACTAGTACAGTTAAGATCAAGGCGGCATGTTCAGTTTGTAATTCAAATGGCCTGTTGTCTTTTTTTTCTTTATCTCTGATTTGTCTTGCTGCGGTATTCAAAGAGCAGTTTTTATATTACGTGATGTAATATAAAAAATACTTTCTGAAGAAAATATTTAACAAATGAATGAATCATTTATAGTCTGTTTCTGCCGTAAAGTATGCCGGAAGTGGTCAGAGTAAGGAAAAAAGGTTTAGACCTGATCGAGTGTTTCTAATTACTCCCTTCCTTTTGCTCTCCAAACCGCTGCGCACCTATGAGAATGCACCATTAATTTTTAACATATTTTAGCGATGATAACAAACTAGAAGAACTTTGTGAATAGGCATTTTTCCCTGGGATCGTATAAAATGATGCTAAACTTCACATTTTCCATCAACCAAGTTCTGGAGTTTACGAGTTAGATCTCTCCCAGATTCCACATTAGACTTCACTTCATCACGTGTTATTTCCTTGTGAACAACCTGTATTCACCTACTCTAACCGCATCGTCCAACCCCATTGAAAAAAAATTCAAATGGAACCAATTCGCAATACTCCCGTGTTTTGACTTTTTCTACAAATATAATTCGGTTTTAGTTACTTTGGACTTAACCCAATTGCGTGTTAATTCCTTGTAAACAACCTGCACGTTATCACATATGTCACACATAGAGGGTGAAGTCCAGATAGGTAACCAATCAAGGAGCCCTCTTTAATATACTAGCGGAGCTTGCAGCGCGCGAAGCGTAGCCCCATAATTATGCGAAATAGAAAACATCAACCCGAAAAAACTCAAGATCAAGCTGAAAAAAAATTTTGACGTACGACCGTACGACTGACCGTGCAAGGTGCTACTTTTAGCATGCGCAGCCAACTTTACCATGGGCACTATCGTAGCCATTACGTTATGGAAGGGCGAGGGAGAAGGTAATGCACAGGCGTAATTGCGTGCGTAACTTGGATACCCCATTAGTGTGCGCCAGGAGACACCGGCAGATGACGATAAAGTGCGCATACTCAAGCGTCGACCTTTAGTGTAGCATACTGCGGGCACACGGTTACGCATTGCACGAGGGCTTCATGTGGTATATCAGATGTAAAGCCGGGTAAGAAAATAATTGATCAAACTGGTAAGGTTGTAGTCAAATCGTAATTCTCAGGATTTTGCAATTTTTAATCAACTCGCAAAGCAACAATACCGGCAGAGCTAGAGCTTTGTCAACGGGAGGAAATTGTTATAATTCAAGTTTGTGGAGAGAGGGTTTTGAGTGGAAATAAGATGAAAAGAAAGAGACTGAGCGACCAATTTAAAATTAAAATCATGTTTCGGTAAAACAATGACTTTGGCCTTTATCGCCTTAAAACCCTCGCGCCGGTTCATCGCTCGAATAACATTTCAAAGTGTTCGTATTCTTTAAGGTATTTCTTTTCCTGTTGTTTGGAATGTTTTATACAGTCGTGGTGTTAATGGAAAAGAAGTTATCCCACGAATTTTGTTTTGCCTATAAAGCTTTCAAATGATAGGGAACGGCGAGTGCAAGTTTCTACCTCTTTCTCGCTTCAGTCAACTATCGCAGGGTTTATTCTTTTGGTTAAAAAAAATCGCGCTTTGTCGAAGAGGTGTTGTTTTAGCCCAAGAACGGAGTAGTGGCCTTTCCTAAAATTTAAATAAAATCAGATTGAGTCAGCGATGTCCATGTTAAATTAAGTCTGACGCGGTAATTTAGCAATGTAATATAATATAATTTGACAATATTGTCATGTGAGAACTCGTCGAACATCTGAGAATTAAATTACGGAAATTATTTCCTGCAAGTATGAATGGTTGGGAGAAGTTTTAGCGGTAACTGACCCTTTTTTGTTAGGATGCGTAGGATTTGATGATTTTTATGTAAATCTCTTAGCTTTTATCTTTCAACTTTGTATTAATTGTAACTGTTTACCATACCTATTTCTTTGTACCTCAAGCTCTCAAAAGATGAAGCAGGTGAGTCAATCACCTGACTTTCTTTGTTTGGATTTGTGTGATTATATAATTTTGCTGTGTAAGTTGCCACACTGCAACACGTAATATTATTATTTGAATTGCATTAATTACTCTTGTGCAAGCTTTCATTAATGCATGGTGTTTCTTACCAATACTCATACCCAAACTAAACATTGATATAAGGAATTGGTCACAAGATAGGTGAGTTTAAAAGAGTGGGAAACTGGAAAAGCAAGGATCCCCCTTTAATTAGGACTGAAATTAAAGTGGGCTCTGCTATTTTAATTCATGTTTATACTTTGACCTGCAGAACGTTAAATTATTGGCATCTGCATAATGCACAAAGCAAGAATATAAATGACTTAGCTAAATAGTTTATAAAATTAAAATAAGAAAGGTGTGCAGACCATATCTTGCCTTTTATCCTTCTCT